CCTGTGTTGTTAGGGATTCGCACGCTCAGGGCGCTCAAGACGGTCTTGGATTGCCTTCAGGACGTAGCAGTCTTCGCAGCACTGGATCCATCAGCTGGGGTAATGCTTGTATAAACTCAGCAGCTCAGGGTTAGTCGAGTGGTGGAGCTGGCTCCCGAGCCTTCGCAGAGCTCTTGCTCTTGGCTTTCGCCTTTGGTTTGCTCTGCTCGCTGGCAATCCCGGCTTTGGCCTTGGCAATCGCTCTCTCTGTGAACTCGGTTGCCTCAGGCATCGCAGTCTCGGCCATGACCTGCAACAAGAGCTCTCAGGACACCGACGGGACTCTTCAGTCTCACCCCAAAACACGCCGGTAGTCAAGCTACCTGCAGACCATCGAGAATGGAAAAGCACTGCTGGGAAGTCTGATGGTCCATTGGGTGTGGGAGATGCCAACTCAGGACCAACATGTGTCTGATACTCAGGATCATCTTGAGAAGTCATACACACAGCACCCACGTTTTCCTCAGTCTGGCTCGAATCCACCCCTACTGCGAATGCACCATCACTCGGAGAAAGAATGGAGAATGAGTCCTGAAGCCAATTACGACTGAGGTCGGATGGAATCGCATCGAAGAAGCGGATCCAAGGGATGTTCGTCTGGCAGCCTGGCAGGTCCACCATGCAACGGAGAGCATCTGTACTCATCCCGCAGCAACCAGCATGCGATGTGGCAGTTTTGCACCAGGCGCGGAGTGAGACTCAGCTACGTTCCCCGGCACGGCAAAACAGTTTTGCACCGCGCGGCTGGAGCCTTGAAGACCGACATCGAGACAGTGGTGAAGGAGACGGCGGAGACGCAGGAGTTAAGTTTCAATCCGCGGCTTCGGCACCAGAGTATCGGCCTCCTTGCAGCAGAGGCGAGCGCGTTGCGGCAGCTGGAACACATCCGAGCTTAGATGCCCAAGACCATGCCCAAAGCTCCTGCGGCAAGCACAGAGGGGCACAAAAATCCACCGGGATCATCAATGCCAACTTCGGCTGCAAGGCTCAATTACGGTTACCTGAACCCCCAAAACCCAAAACCCTAAGCCCAAAACCCTAAACTCCTACCCAAGTGGTCAATGTGGATGCTCCTCAGGGCCCTGTGGTGACCATCCCAGCTCCGGAGATGTCCCAAGGCATCAAGAGATGCCTGCACATCAAAGGATGCCTGCAGAGACCCAGGAGTATCAGCAGCGGACTCAGAATCACCGAAAATCCTGCCGTGATGGAGATGAAGAAGCTTGCTTATGACACGGTCAAATCTCAATCCTTTTCTTTCGGGGCGTGTGAAAAGCTGCTCTACCAATTTGCGACTGTCAGAGAGGCGTTGTGTCAGAGCCATGGAGGAATCCTGGAGAAGCAAAAAGGTCATGGTTATGTGGTTTTTGGTTTACTGCACGGCGCACTCACGAGCTTCCTCAGTTGGGCCAGTATTTGAACCACTTTGGCAAGCACCACCTTGCAGGGACGGGCTCATGCTGGACGATTTGTGCGGTGAGTGTGAATCAGCCTGCGCAAGTTCATATGGATGCACATCATGCTGTGGGTAGCTCCAATTTCACGTGCTCTCTTGGTCAATACTCTGGGGGTGAACTATGGGTAGAACTTGGTGAAGATTGTCCTGCCTCGTCAGCTCCCGTGCGATGGAAAACCAAACATAATGGACAACGTGTACCAGGCCACGTGCATCCTACTCGACACAGATTCGCGCAGTTCTCCCCAAAAGCGTTTCATGCCACAGATCGATGGACAGGTTTTCGCATTTCTTTGACCTACTACGCTTCAAGGTTGATCAATCAGGCGAGCAAGGCATGCAGGAATAGGCTGTGCCACTGTGCAAGTTTGGATCCCCTCTTCCCAAGTCACCGTCTACTTCAAAGTGCTTGGAGGTTGAGACCGAGTGCGCAGTTGAGGAGACTTCAGCCCATGATGACAGCTCCATTCTTGACTCAGGATGTTCGTAAACTTCTTCACGAGTCATGTCAGGAGGTTTGGGATGAAGTGAATAGTCTTCTGGATGTTCATGGCAGAGACCCCAACGTTGTGCAGGTTGTGGAGTTTGGCGGTCCCTCTGAGAGCCCTCTTTGCTCTCTTCTGCAAAAACAAGGCGGGTCCAGCTTTGTCGCTAATCTCACAGAAGGGTATGACTTGGACAGTCGCGGAGGATGCCATCAGTCTCGACAGCAGACTGAGAATCTCCAGCCCAACTTTGCATGGTTTCAACTTCCAGAAGGTCCCCCCAGGCGAGACAGTTGCCCTGAAGACAGTAAGCATCGCGCCCTTGTTCTAAAGTCCCGCAAGGTGATCCGACATGCTATTGCCCTTTCTCAACTTCAGCTTCAGCATGGAGAGTGCGTATGGATCTCAGACAAACATTCGAGTCCTTGGCGAGAGCCCGAAGCTTGTCAGTTTTGGCAGTACCTTGCTTAGGCCGGAAAACCCTTCGAATGGCACTGTGGAGACCTTCAAGTTCGGACTTCCTCACGCTCAATGTATCTGGATTGCTCCAGGGTCAGTGCATCTCAGAGTACTCCGGAAGAGCATTTGTCTCAACTGCATACAGCGATTCTCGGAAGTTTGCAACGGCGTGTTTATCAAACGGCTCCCCAGCACGCTGCGAAGCTCAACTATCTCCAGTCGTTGGTAGCTTCCGAGGACTCATCCATTGTGGAGCAAGTCAATCAACTGGCGAGAGAAGTGTATGCGTCCCGAAGTCTCTCTGTGCAAATCCAGGCTTTGGGAGCGGATGATCCTGAGCAGTGGTGCATGGTAGGATGGTCGGACGCCTCACTGGCAAATCGCCCAGACTTTTCATCCACGCTGCCCTGATGCATCAGAATGGTTTGGGAGTCCGGAAGTGGCAAGGTGAACCCTGTGTCTTGGAAAAGTGGGAAGCTTCATCGGGTTGCACGCAATTCCTTGTCAGCTTAATCTCAAGCTCTCGCTGACACAGAGCAAGAACTTTTCCCCGCCTCGAGTGGCGAGAGATGATAGGGGACTACATCAAGTGGGAATCGGCTGAGAGCACGGCGGCAAAGGTCAGCCCTTACTTGATTGTCGATGCAAAGGCAATGTTTGATACCTTGTCCAAGGGTGTGTTTGTGGCTAGCCAGAAGGACAAGTACACTGGTCTTGAGCTTCTTTCCTTGAGTCAGCATTTGGAAGCCCAGAAAATCACCTTGCTGTGGTGCGATTCCAATCATCAGCTGGCAGACGGTCTCACGAAATCTAGCAAACAAGATGTTTTGAAGAGATTCTTATTACAAGGGACCTGGAGAATCCGCTACGACGGAGCTTTCATCTCTGCGAAGCGGAGAGCGTGTATGCTGAAGATGGAATCCCAAGAAGGAGAGTATGCGGAAGATGCTACTTTCTCCAGATGTGTGGATAGCGCAAGCACTCCCATGCTTCGGCGTTACCTTGCAGGGCATGTCAGAAGAGGATTGCAATTCTGATGTGCCTACACTTCCAAGTGCTTGCAGTCACCTGCTTCGTCTACAGGAGCTCCTTTGGCCCAATTCCAGCCTAATCGGCTTCGAAGGCTGCGTAGTGCCCTAAGGTTATCGTAGATAACCATCCTGAGCCATAGGCTCCGTGCACAGTTCATCCGGCAGTCTTAGACTCCTTCGGAAAGTGCGTCCAAGAGAAAAGCCTTCCGACCTTTGACAGTTCTGGTGACAGCTGCTTCATTCTTGGAAATCACAACCGTGAGAGTGTCCTTTGGGAGGAGAGCCGACGTTGCTACCAACACTCCTCGGGAGATAGGGTTGCAGAATGTCTCTTTCAGGCGTCGCGATATGGGGAGAGAAAACGCAGTCAGCTCCAATTAAATGAGCGATTCGCAGTAATTGACATCGATTATGAGCCCTTCATCTTCGAGAATCTTGGATGGGGATTGGAATTTGATAATTTCCGGGAGGGGGGTCATAGCTTCTGGGTGCAACCCCCCCACCCCATGCCTTTGGAGGCCCTAAGCTCTCTACGGCCCTAAAATGTCCCAGGTGGACCCCTTCTATATCCATACATGACCCCTTATTATATACGCCCATACCCCATGCTCTCTGCTCAAGGTGAAAGTTGCAACTGCAGCTCAAAGGCAGTGAACGCGGGCCCTAAAACCGTAAACCCTTAAATCCCAAACCCTTCGTCAACTGGGTTTCCACCGAAGCCCTAGGAAAATGTGAGGGGTTTAGGCTTTAGGGTGCAGAGGTCTTGGATTCCCCTAACAATAAACCCTTCAAGGAAAGACCTTAGAAATGAGGGAGGCTACTGTTTATCAGGGGTGGGAGGTCTATTATTTGGGGAAGTGATGAGGATTTAGTGTGTAGGGTCCGGAATTGCAGGAACCGTGCTTCTTCTAGTAGTAGTGAAAGGAGGTGTGCAAATTCTAGGCAGCAACGCTGTGCTTGCTCTGTTGTTGGTTTATATGTAGCACTTAAGCTACTTCGTTCTTAGACAGGCAAGAGGTTGGTCGTGTTTGGGATCCTTTCCGGAAAAGAAAAGTCGTGGCAGTAAGAGTGGGAGGAGGAACAGTCGTTCGGGTCAGGGACGGGAGCGGGGCTTTTGGCGCAGGACTGGCTTGCAAAAGTGGTAAGCAAAATAACAATGGCTTTAATAGTAGTTTCCATTTTCTTTCCCATTCTCCCAATATTACCCCAATATAACC